TATTCCCATTTCTACCAACTGTGACCTTGTGCAGCCTCTCAATACCTTGCTTAAAAACTGGTAGGAAAGAGAGTTGCCTGCCTCCTAGGGAAAGGGTACTGAGACCTTGTTCAGTAGCAAGGGTTGTGAACTGCAGAGAAGTATTAACATGAGTTGGTAGAAGAGGCAAATCCAGGCTTTCCGGTCTCCTAGGCCAAAGAGTATTTTGAGTGAGCTTTTACCTGAGATGCAAGCAGGCATGCAGGGTTGCAACTCAAACCCTGCTAAATTGCAATAGTGTACATAAAACATAAAGTAAAAGAGACAACAATAATAATACAATTCTTGGACTAAATTTAAACTAACAAGTCTGTTTTCACTGTGCAAACTCTAAGAAATAAACAAATAGGCATCATGAATAGTCAAAAGTATGTTACATTCTTGAATACATTCTGTTTTAATTATCAAAAATGTGATTAGAAAGAGCAATTGGGAATTTTTTTCTTTTTTTAAATGTATGATTTTTAATCATAGCAGCATCTCATTAAACCCAGAGCTGAAATGAAATATCTCAATGCATTGATTCTGTGCGCTAATCCCACTGTAGGACTATAATCTTTCTAACTGCTGGTTGCACTGGATTTCTAATTTACACGGTGACTGTGAGCTTTGGAGTCTGTCTCCAAAGGATGCTGAAAGATGTGGCTGTCTTACTTCTACCAACAGTAATTGGCTACCACTGCCATCATATACTAGGGCAATGAGGAAAAGGCTAAGGAATTCCAAGATCAACATTCATACTGGAGGAAAGGATGCAGATTTTATACTGACATTACTTTTTCCTAGAACAAACTTCCAGTGATTAATGAAGTGTCAGAAAAAAATATGACTGAAATATCCAAGGAAAAAAACACAGGGCAGTTATAAAATATGTGAAATACAAATAGAATACTCTGTCTGTCCTGGAGTCTGAGCTGGATTATACCTAGGGAAACAGGCCCAGATATTGTCCTGTCATTAAGTTCTTGTTCATCCAATATTTTTTCCGATAATTAATAGCTAATGCCTGTTTACCCCTTTTGAATTATTTCAACTCACAGGAAATTCTTGCTGGCTGAAGTGACACACACAGATGGGGTCAGAACTGTGCTCTCTGAGCTATGGGCTTCCTTTGCAGTCCTGTATTGGCCAGTCACATAGTGATCTGCATCTGGGTTATGCAGGACTTGGGGAATTCGAAAGACTAGATACTTTATTATTAATTATTATTATTATTATTATTATTATTCCTATCTACTAGATAGTTATTCATAATACCTAACTCTCTATAATGCTTTTCATTCATCAAAGCGCTTGACAAAGAAGGTATCATTAGCCTCATTTTATACATGGGGAAACTAAGGCACAGAGCAGGGAAATGACTTGTTTGAGGTCACCAGCAGGCCAGTGGCAGAGCTGGGAAGAAACCTCAGGTCTCAGTCCAGTGCTGTAGCATTTGAGCCTCTCTTTAGCCTTAAAGCTACCTTGGAATCTGCAGATTGTATTTAATTTCACTTGCAATTTTACTTTCGTCTTCTTTCCAGCTCTGTAATTGTCCCATTACCATGAAGAATTTAGTGGGTTTTTATGAATGGGGAAAAAAATCCTGAAAGTGTTATGTTACCCATCAATAGGACTCTCTTGTGAAATGTGTGTCAGCATGGAGTGATCATTTTAAAAACTCTTCCATCCCCACTAAAAAGGAATAAAATAGGCCTGCATATTCATGATAGTAGAGAATGAAGAGTGCAGTAAGAGAAAGATCAGGTTAATCCAGATGCACATCAACTAGCCAATTCTTAAAATGACAAAGTTAAAACAAGAAATGCCAGAGATTTGGAAAGTCAGTATGGTCTAGCAACTTGGATACTGAATTAAGAGACAGAAGACTTGGGTGCTAGTCCTGGCTCTGTCACTGATCTGTTGTAGGACATTAGATGAGTCACTTCCTGTCTTGGTTTCCCCTTCACTCTCTGTCTAGCTTATCTACTTAGACTGTAAACTCTTTGGGGCTGGGACTGTCTTTCCCAATATTCTGTGCCTAGCACAAGGGGCCTCCAGATCTTGGTTGGGCCTCTAGCTGTTACTGCAACACAAATAATAATAATAATTGGGGAGAAATCATCAATGCTTGCGAAAGAAAACCCCTTCTGCTATATCCCCTGACCACTGCAGTGCATGCTGGAGGAGTCTATATGCTCATTTAGGTCACTGTGAAACCATACAAGTATTACACATTTTAAAAAAAAATTCCCAGAATTTTTGTGGCTCCTTTTCTCCTTGATCCCCATGGTTACATTGTGTCTATGCTCAGTGTTTGCTCTTTGTCTGTGACAGACATTTCTCTCCTGATATTTCATAGCATTCATCACTGAAATATGCTAATTAAAATCACAGCTCCTATATGTGCCCTTCTAATGGAAAATAATAAAGAAAAAAGCAACAGTCAAATTAATGAGCATCTTTAGTTTGTAAAGTGTTTTTAATAGTTATCATGAAGGAAAAGTAATACTACTTCTGCAAGGCCCTCAGATGGGAGGTGCTATGAAATGCCACGACAAGACTGACAAAGAAAGGGAAAAGGTTGGTTTATTAACCACTTTTACAGATGGGGAACTGAAGCTAAGAGAGATTAAATGACTTGCCTAAAGTCACACATGAGGTCTGGGACAGAGCCCAGATCCCTTAAGTCTCATTCCAGTGCCTTAACCACAAGACAATCCTTCCTCTCAATTCTTCCCTTTATTCTGTAACACAGATACTGAATGGTGCATGGATTACAAAACCAATTTGTGGCCTGATTGTGCCTCCCATATATATTGGAGAGCAGTAGAGACTCTCGGTGCCTGGAACTGCCCACAGCTCTGAAAAGGATGGGGGAAGCTATCTAATTGGGACCTACAGCAAGCTCTCCTGTTGTCTATATGTGGGAAGAATGCATGGCAGGCCAGGGGGAGAGGATGAGGTTGAAGGCGGAATGAATGTTGTAAAAGCAACAGTGCTGTCCAGTTTGAGACAAATAGCAACTTAGATGCCTGCTACCTGTGGGGACTGCACCTGGAACTGTACTATCTTTCCCACAGAGCTCTCTCTACTCAAGGCCACATTGACTTAAAGGGAGGCTCTGGAGGCTGCATAGGCACGGAAGCCATAGCACATGGCTCTAATAATGGGGAAGAGGAGCGTTCATTGTTAAACACCTAATTGGTCTGAGTATGCTCTGGCATGTCAATATCACCTTCCACAGGTTTAGCAAATACACTGGGTCAAACCCTGTGCTGACTGATGTTCTGTGCAATGCACTGGCTTAACTTGGGCTTTTTAAAAGTGTTAAATCAGCACAGAATTTGGCCCATTCCACTGAGTCTGGGTTTCATGTCTCTATGCACCCAGAGCACTGGTCTACAAATGAGCAGTGACAAGTTAGCTGAATCCGCTCCAGAATAAGCAAAGTCAATTTGGTCTTAAAAGCCCTGCAGCACGAGTAAGGGCACTTTCTCTGAACATAGACAAGCAGGCAGCTCTCTAATATCTACCAAAAGCAGGCCAGGGGAAGAGGTTTCCTGTGATATTGTTCAAGCGTCGTAGACAGCAGGCTCATTGAGTAATGTGCTTTTTTTTTTTCCTTCTGTACAATATATATAAAACTGAAAATTGCACTCTGGAAATGTCCTGCATGTCCAAAATTAACAAGCTGCTGGCTCAGTTAAAGCTCCTGGAGCCAGAGTAGCTGCAAAAATATATTTGCATACATCTTGGAACTGGCAGTTTTTTCCATATTCCCTCCAGTTATCCTCTGAACCCCAGGAAGCCAGGCTTCACTCTTCAGTAGTTGTTCCCTTAACTCAGAATGGGAGCAATTAACTGGTACCGTTCATGAAGAAAAGTAGATCCCTTCTGCAGAATAGATTGTCTCAAGGAATACATGGTGGAAAGCACTGGTACATTTTGGTTCTATTTAATCAAAGAGGATCTCCTTCCAGATCATGCTGAAAAGTTGAAATCTCAGTATTTTTCTTGAAACACAATATTCTGAAAATATTTCAGTGTTATTGTTTCTCCTTTTATATTAATGATATTTTGCTATAATTTAGAATAGAGTAGAATAACTTTAAAGTTTAAATGTTTTGACTTTTATATTATATTATGACAATATAATATAAATAAAAATGATAAAGTAGAAATAAAACATTTTGTTAATTTCTCATTAAAAAAATGCAACAAAACTGATACACTTCCACAAAATTTTCAATTTTGTCAAATCAGCATTTTCCAGTGGAAAACTGTTCCACTGGAACATTTTCAACCAACTCTATCATTAATATTCATGTAGTAGTCGTGACAAAGTTCCTCCTCTACCTTGGTGGGTCTTGTGCTTATTGGAGGATTTGCTCACCTCGGAGATTCATGGCAGCCCTCAGTTTGGCCATTTTTGTGAACCCACAGTCCAGGTCAACTCCTCCTGTGTCTGACCAGGAGTTGGGAAGTTTGGGGGGATGGAGGGATAGGGGGAACCCGAGCCCACCCTCTACTCCGGGTTCCAGCCCAGGGCCCTGTGGATTGCAGCTGTCTACTGTGGCTCCTGTAACAACTGCGTGACAGCAACAAATCCCTGGGCTACTTCCCCATGGCCTCCTCCCAACACCTTCTTTATTCTCACCAGAGGACCTTCCTCCTGATGTCTGATAATGATTGTACTTCTCAGTCTTCCAGCACTATGCCTTCTCACTCTCAGCTCCTAGTGCCTCTTGCTCCCAACTCCTCACATGCGCACCACAAACTGAAGTGAGCTCCTTTTTAAACCCAGGTGCCCTGATTAGCCTGCCTTAATTGATTCTACCAGCTTCTTGATTGGCTGCAGGTGTTCTAATCAGCCTGTCGGCCTCAATTGTTTCCGGAAAGTTCCTGATTATTCTGCAACCTTCCCTGTTACCTTACTAGAGAAAACGGACCTACTTAACCTGGGGCTAATATATCTGCCTAGCAATATGTCTGGCCGGGGCAAAGGCGGTAAAGGACTCGGAAAGGGAGGTGCTAAGTGCCATCGGAAGGCACTTCGTGATAACATTCAAGGTATTACTAAACCGGCTATTCATCGTTTGGCTCGTCGTGGTGGTGTCAAGCGTGTTTCTGGGTTGATCTATGAAGAGACCCGTGGCGTGCTCAAAGTTTTTCTCGAAAACGTGATCCATGATGCTGTTACTTACACCGAGCATGCGAAGCGGAAGACTGTGACAGCCATGGACGTGGTTTATGCTTTAAAACGCCAGGGTCGCACTCTGTACGGATTCGGGGGCTAAGCCTTTCTTTTGACTTAAGTTTAATCACTCTCCTGTAGCCCGCCCACTTCCCGGATCCCAATAGGATCACTCTCCTGTAGCTATCTGGCCCGACCCTGTCATATAGTATTAATATGAGACTACATTCAGCTACCACAACCTGAAACATCATGTAGTCTAAGCCAGTGGTTCTCAACCAGGGGTCCGTGAGCAGATTTCAGGGAGTCCACCAAGCAGAGCCAGTGTTAGACTTGCTGAGGTCCAGGGCAGAAAGCCAAAGTCCCACTGCATGTGGGGTGAAGTGTGGGGCCCTGAGCCCCACCACCATGGGCTGAAGCTGAAGCCTGAGTAACTTAGCTTCACAGTGCCCCCTGTGGCATGGGGCCCTCAGCAACTGCCCTTACACCAGCCAGGGCTTTTAGATGCAGAAAACCAGTTACTGTGGCACAGGTGGGCCATGGAGTTTTTACAGCACGTTTGGGGGGCCTCAGAAAGAAAAAGTCTGAGAATCCCTGGCCTAAGCCACTGAAGCTGGTGGAATTCTCCAGGCTAACAAACTGTGCTTCAAACAATCTCCACTGCTATACTGGAGAAAAATTCTCTATGAGGAAAATATTATATTTACATGTTAGGCACAGAGAGACAGCAGCTCTCCAATGAAGACTAAGTGAAAAACTGATTTCTACTATAAGTTGTCAAGTACTGGACCAAATTAATCCCTGGTGTAATTCCATTGACTTTAACGGAATGTTACCAGGGATGAATTTGAGCCATTGTGTTTTAAGGGTGACATCACTTATAATTATAGCACTTTCCTGTGACATGAATAATCATCGTAAAGATCCTCAACACAGGCCCTTGAATACTCTCATTTGTGATTCTGATCTGGGATTTTTGTTTATGGGCCATTATGGAATACATACATCCCAATTTGTTTCTTACTTGCACAGGTTCATGCTACTGTAGCTACTGATTTCAGTGGAGTTACTGCTGACTTACACCAGCGTAAGTGAGAGGAGAATTAGGTCCATTTAGTTTAAAGGGGCTGTGAGCTCTTTTTGGCTCATTTGGAAAGCACAGAACTACTACCAAATATTTCATGGTCCTTTCTAATTTCTCACTCGTTGTTCAGTCTAGCAGCTTTGTTAATCATTGCTGATACTGCGGCAGTGTCTACTTCTATGGCACTAGCCAGCAATGCACCCAACAGATGTACTGTGATTTTGTCTCTTATCAGCCTTCATTTCAGAAAGATGCTCAAGCCCAAATGCGATTCAATTAATCACTTTATGGAGAAATTGGATGCAAATACGATTGATCCCTTAAATGGTTCTGGGAAAAGCCTTCTGCAGTTTTCCCGCCAGCAGGGAAACATGGCTGAGGCCTAGCAGAGGACAGAACAGTAGTGTCCTGGCTGGAACCCTGGAAATTTGTGTTCATTATACTGTCTGCATCTAAAGCCTCAGAGGAGAGTTACTATATAACTACTGGATTTTAGAGCTATTACCAGTTGGCCCATCTCCCCTCCGCCCCCACCTCCATCTATTCTGTAGCAACCATTACAAAAACATACATACAAAGGGCCAAATTCTGCTCTCAGTCACACCATTGTAAATCTGAAGTAACTCCTGATTTCAGTGGCAGATTTACACTGTTATAACTGAGAGCAGAAGTTACCCTAAAAGCCCTGATCTCCATTTGGCACAGGTTGCTGAATTCGGAGTTTGATAATATGAGACTAATCGTGTATGCAGGGTAACCTAAAACAAGGGAAGAGTCAACTGAACCCACAATCATCATGGGTTTGGATCTTCCTCTTTGGCGTCCGCATGTGCTAAATGTCTCATAACTCAGCAATGCAGTTTCCAGAACTGCCAGAGAATAAAGGAATACAGTTTTACTCCAGCCTTCCATTAGTCATACGAAGGACAGAACAGGGCAGAATTATAAAGATCCATGCAAATCAACCCCAGTAATATCATCAGCCTGGTCTTAGAGACCTGGGTGACGTGCTGGCCGCACTGAAATCAACGGGAAAACTCCCAGTGAGTTCAGTGGGAATACATCAGCCTAGATCTTGGGGCTGAGTGAGGAAGTTCTGGTTTTCAATCTCTGTTCTGCTACTTACTCACAGAGTGGCCTTATGAATGACACGTATTCTTTCTACATCTCCTTTCCTCCGGTGGTAAAACTTGAGTGGTATATCTTACTAACCTACTAGACAGAGTGCTGGGAAGGCTAATTAGTTGGTGTTTGCACAGTGCCTTGAAAATAACCCCTATACTAATAAATTCCTAGTACTAATCTATTACCATGTAACTGTATTAATGTGTAATTTCATTTAGGCATGGTACACTTTACAGAAGCATGTAGGAGAGAAATGGTGTTAGTTTCACAGCAGGCCAGACGCAATCATAAGGGCAAGAAAACATTAGCATTAAATGATAGGACATAAGGCAGGGTCACTATATGCAAGAGTGACTGCAAGGAGCACAGCAGCATTTATCCAGCACAATAGATGAGGCAAGCTGTGATTCAGTGGAATGGAAGTGAAGTGAAGAAGTGCTATGGGATACCCAGAGCACGGAATCTTTAGTGCACTATGAATGGCAGCCCAGTCCTATCTAGAGCATGGTTATGTGATCTGGTGTTGTTAGAGTACAATGCAATATGGGCCTGATCCAGCTCTCGTTACAAGCAGTGGAAATAAATCCATTGACTTTAATGAGAATTAGATTGAGCCCTCTGTGAGATAGCATCAGTTACTACAACAGGAAGTTTACATACATCAGCATTGTCTTTATCACAGGGAACAGAAACGAGAGAGGGGGGATCATGCATAGATGATGCAATATATGCAGGGATCATTTAATTAAGGGATAATGCAAGGAACATGCAATGAATATCTAAAGATCGCATACTTGTGCATTTCATAGATGATTCCTGCATGCTGCATATACATCACTTTTGCTGGCACGGGAGGGAGTATACAGTTAGGACTAGCTCTTAAATCCAACATCTCCTGTAGCATGTAGCTGATACAGGTTTAGTGCCGAACAACTACTTTAACAAAATAATGTCAACTTGCTTTTCCTAATGGCATCAAATTAACGTTGTGTTTGATTAAAAAAAAATATGGGAGGAAAATGTAATCTGGAGTACTTTTAACCAATCACATTCGTTCATTACATGTCATTTCATGCCTTTGTGCACCACTGCTCCTGGCTACAGTGCCTTCTGTTTATCTGCATTTATTTCAAAAACTTTAAAGGTCACTCCTAGCAGCCTGGAGTGGGATTTACAAAAGCACTCAGCACTAGCCAAACTCCACTCCTGCTGAAGTCAGTGGTCAAACTTCCACTGATGTCAACAGAGCAGCATTAGGCCAAAGCTAAAGCCATCTGAAAATCCCACTCTTAGTGCTTTCCCCTTTGAAAGCAATTTAGAAACACATCACCTTTTTTTCAGGAGAACTGAGCACCTTGAATGGGAGCTGTAAATGCTCAGAGCCTCTGAAAGTCAGGCCAGGAAGGGTATGTCTACACTGCATCTAGGAGCAAGCTTCCCAGTCTGGGTCTACAGACTTGTGCTAGCAGGACTCACACTGGCATGCTACAAGCAGACATTGCAGCTTGGGCAGGAGTCCAGGCTCTGACACCTGGAGAGAGGAGGGGGCTTTGGAGCCCAAACTCCAGCCTGAGCTGCAATGTCAAAGCACTATCTACAGGTATCTTCAGGGCCCCGTTAACCCAAGTCTATGAACCCAGGCTGGGAAGTTCACTCCCAGATGCAATGTAGACATACCCTTAAGGGCTTAGAAGGTGCCTAATCCTGGGCAGGTCCACAAGCTGGGGTGGTGCAGAAATGCTGCAAACAACCACCCCTTCCCCACCCTGCCAACTACAATCAAAGCTTTCTGCCAGTGGCAGAGAGGGGAAAGGGAAGGGCTAGTGTGAATCCTAGGGAGTGCAAAGAATGCAGCAGGGATTTCTCTGCCCTAGCCCCCATGTGCTATCCAGCGCATTGTGCCTATCTCTAGCATCTCCTGCTAAATCGGTGTATCTCTGCCCCTCTCTCCCATCATGGGCTGGAGCTAAGAGCCACAATGCAGCTCTAATTAAATTTCACAACTTTCCCATCTAGGAAGGCTGAGACAGAGATATGAAGTGATTTATGGGAGGCCATAGAGAGAAACAATGTCTCCACATGGGGATTAAAACTCAGGTGATCCTGGCACATAGCTCCATGCTCAGACCACTAGGTGATGTCTCTCTCTATACCGAATATAACAGAATGTGCCTTCAGTTAAAGAACCAACTTCCTAATTAGGTTCTTAGAGCTGCATGAGAGGAGGCAATCCAATTATTTAAGCATAGCAGCCGGTTCTAGACTTATGCACCATGTATGACTGCACGAAACATCCCCTCACACTCTTCTTCTTATCCTAAATCAATGGCCAACTAGCTGCTTTGGGGGAAAAATGACCCTGCCCAGGTAATTCCCAAGTGTTCTGGGAAAGGTTGCATGAGTGGCTGGCACCAACGGGCACCCTTGGAAAGAGCTCCTGAATGTCTGGAAATTCAGAATGGAAACAAGCCCAATCATTCTGAACTTTTAATGTTGCCTATCTACAGGAAAATATTAACAATAGCAGAATCAAAACCCTGCCACCGTGCAGTGGCCTTTCTCTGTTGGAAGCTCCAACACAGATGCATGGGAGCCCACATAGGGACTAAGCAAGAGATAGCAAAGGCGGGTATATGAAAGGAGATTCAGTGATGGAAGAGTTGGCTACATCTCCAGCAGGATAAATATAACCAGGAGCAAAAGGAGCACTGCCATGGCATGTCAATGTGGGCATCAAAGGAAGCTGTGGAAAAGAGTTTCAGAAAGTGGAACATTTTCCAAATGAGTCAACATCAGCTTGTCCAATACTATATTTTGCACAGTCAAATGCTGTAGTTAGTAGATTTTCCAAGAATTAGTGGAAGAGGACAACACTGCACAATTGGACAAACTGA